CACTTGTACGGATTCTTGCTTTTCATGCTGTGATTTGCCAGGAGCCCTGTCTGCACAGCTGCAGTCACCATGACATTAAATATAGGTCACGTGGAAAACATTTGCTCTTTTTTTAATAGATCTTTATTGGAGTATAATTGCTTCACAATACTGTGTTAGTTTCTGTTGCACAACAAAGTGAATCAGCCATATGCATACACATGTCCCCATATCCCCTCCCTCTTGAGGCTCCCTCCCACCCTCCCTATCCCACCCCTCTTGGTCATCGCGAAGCACCGAACTGATCTCCCTGTGCTATGCTGCTGCTTCCCACCAGCCAACTGTTTTACATTCGGTAGTGTGTATATGTCGTTGCTACTCTCACTTCGCCCCAGCTTTGCCCTCCCACCCCATGTCATCAAGTCCGTTTTCTATGTCTACCTCTTTATTTCTGCCCTGCAACTAGGTTCATCAGTACCACTTTCTTTTTTTTTTCTTTTAGATTCCTTATATATGTGTTAGCATACGGTATTTGTTTTCTTCTTTCTGACTTACTTCACTGTGTATGACAGACTCTAGGTCCATCCACCTCACTGCATATAAGTCAGTTTCGTTAGAACATTTACTCTTAAAGAGAAGCGCAGGGTCAGCATTTGAACAATGTGACCACTGGCGGCTCAGAAATCACCCCAGGTCTTCTCTCGTTGGCGGAATTTGGTCTTCACGTCACAGAAGGGAGGAGAGGAGCACATTTCAAGTAGAAGGACGTGAAAATGGACACATTTTAAAAAGATTTTTTGTGGGTTTGTCAGGCTGGCTTCTTTAACTGATCTTAGTGGCCTAATAAGCAGAAGCTTCTTTCTCATCCATGTAGAAATGAGGTGACTCTCTTCCAGGTGGTAATTCGGGGATCCAGGCTGCTTCCCTCTTGTGTCTTTGCCACACCTGTTGTGGATCCCGAGTTGCCCTGCAGGGTGTCTCCATTCCAATCTGTGTGTGTGTGTGTGTGTGTGTGTGTGTGCATGCGTGCGCACGCACACGCACGCACGTGTGCATGCATCTGTCTGTCTGTCTGTATGTTACAGGCCTGGCTTGCATTTCTTCTGCTCACATTCTGTTGGCTACAGCTCAGTCAAATGGCCACACGTCCTTACGAGGAAAGCTGGGAAATGTATTCTGCTTGTGTCGCCTGGAAATGGAGGGCAGGGATTGGGTGATGAGCTATTAGTTTAGGCCAGTGCTTCTCAAATTTGAGCTGCATCAGAATCACCTGGAAGCTTCCTGGCCGCCCCACACCCCCACCCCACACCCCCACCCGTTTCTGATTCAGCAGGCCTTGGGTGGGGCCCAAGAATTTACGTTTCAGATAAGCTCCCAGGTGATGTTGATACTGCTGGGCGAGGAACCGCAATTTGAATAGTCCTGGTACAGGAGCACATTTTTGTGTCTTGATTTATCCATGCTAATCGTGGATACCAGAAGTATATCCTTATTATTGTGAGTCGAGAGATAGGGAAGGAGAGGGGTAAAAACGATAAATAGCCTTGGCCAGGACATTTGGAATGTTACAAATAATTAATGTTTCTTAGAGGAATTGGAGTTTTGGCGGGTTGAGACCTGGGTCGTCAGGTGCGCCTGCTCTGTGGGATGGGGATGAGGTGGGGCCTCTGTGGCCAGGCAAAGGTGCTTTCAGCCCAGCTAGCTCTGTTGGAGCAGGAAGCTTTGGAGAATAAAGTACCTAAGTGGGTACAGGAGAGATGACATGGAGCAAGCGACAAGGCGGGGGACTTGTGTGAGACTTGAAGGAGAGTTTGTGAGTGCTGGACTGAACCAGGTGTGGATTTGGACACGGACAAGTGGGACTTAGATTTTGAGTTTCTTTGAGTCTTGGTGCCTGTAAAATGGGGAATAATGATGGCTGTCTGTTGGTTACTATGAGAATCAATTAGGTCAGAAGTTTGTAAACTTTCTTGGTTCGTGGTGCTTAGAGGTTAAAAAAAATCCTACAGTTTCATTTATTATGAAAGCAGTCAGCTTTTTTTTTTTTTTTTTTTTTTGGGTTTGAGGGCCTCTCACTGTTGTGGCCTCTCCCGTTGCGGAGCACAGGCTCCGGACGCGCAGGCTCAGTGGCCGTGGCACATGGGCCCAGCCGCTCCGCGGCATGTGGGGTCCTCCCGGACCAGGGCACGAACCCGTGTCCCCTGCATCGGCAGGCAGACCCTCAACCACTGTGCCACCAGGGAAGCCCCAGCTTTTTTTTTTTTTATTATTATTAAAGCAGTCAGCTCCAAACAACTTCATGTACATTGATGTCCTAACAACTCAGTGGCCGTTTGAAAAAATAATCAACATAAATGTTTATGTTTCTACGTTATGAATATGTTTCTCCATTAAATAACTGCAAGTACTTGTTGATGGACTGTGTGTGCCTGCGGATTCTGCACAGCTTCTCTCAAACCTTGGGATCTTGTTGGCATCGCTGCCCTCTTCCTATTCCCTGTCGATGTTTCCTTGTTAACCCAGCAACTGTTGAAAACCCAGCTTTGCAAAGATGCTATGTCTTTGAAAGGAATACAGTGCAACGAGTATCGAAACTGTGAAAACTGCCTGAGTTGTTCGTATGCTTTATATCTGACCGATGTTGAACATCACTCTATGTCCCTCAAAAGTGTGACATATTTTCCACTGCCTCTGCAAGTTCACAGTGGCGACCCAGCTGCTTTGGTGCATGGGTTGAAGAGGGTGGAATTTGGTAGTTTTTTTCCCTTTCATTCATTCCTTGAATAAATATTAACTGAGCATCAGCGAGGTGTCAGGCACTGTCCGCCTCCAAACAGCGGAGAGTCTGGGGGGAACCAGACATCGAATCGGATAATCCTGCAAATGTAGACTCCGGATGAGACCAGGGCCATGAGGGATGAGTTCATAGTGAGAGCTTGTGGGAGGAAGACTTGACCTGGTCAGGAGACGCTTCCTCAAGTTGGTGGCACCTGAGTTGTTCCTGAAGTTACTGTGCAGTAAATAGGGGAGGGAACCACGTTCTAGCCACAGGGGTGGCAAGTATATCTCAAGCTGATGAAGAACTTGCTTCCTCCCACCCCCCAATTGCGCCGTGGTTGATTTGAGACTGGTATTGTGGCTTGTGTGCACCATGTGTGTCAGACAATGTCTGGACTCTTTCTTTAATGAGACAAACCTACTGACCGTGCAGTTGGATGCTGATGCAAAGCCCAATTGTGGGAAGAGTTTCGCTGTCATGGATTGGTCACAATCTGTATCACTTCGAGTAACTGCTCCACGTGGGGGAAACAGCATGAGCAAAGGGGTGGAAGGCAGCTGGGTGAGCCAGCATGGGTGGAGCAGAAAGTGAGAGGCTGGGAGAGTCAGCAGGGGCTGTGGTGAGCCTCTGGGTCCCAGGGGGCATGTGGGTCTCACATGAAGACAGCTCGTCCTGGTGGAGAAGGGGAAGTTGTCTTGATTGCTTCCTGGTGATAGATGGTGACGAGAAACAGGCCAGGTACTCGGCTACCAAGATTTGTTTGAGTGATTTAGGCAACTAGCAGTTTCCCTGTTTTCACCCTGAATGTAGACTCCAGTGGCATTACAGCCTCCCAGAGCGGAGGGAATTCTTGTCACTTTGTGTGAAAAGTGATCCATGGAAGGGCCCGCTGGAGGGTGCCCAGGGGGCTGTGTGAGCACCTCCAGTTGGCTGGATTGACCAGCTCTGGAGCTCAGGCCCCATACAGTGCCCAGGCTGTTGGCTGGAGTCTGTCCCAGCTTGCTGCTTCTGGGGTGTGAATTTCAGCTGTTCCTGTGAGGTCACATGGAGCCTGTTACCAGAGTCTGTGTCCCAATGCTTCCCTCTTCTTGACCATTCTGAGGCTTACGTATGAATGGGCATTGCACCGAATCCAGAATGGGCCTAGCCCTTGCCCTTGCCCGAGGGGCCATGACAAGTTCTGCTTTGACTTAAGAATTGGGTGCTCTCTCCTTACACGGGGATGACTTGTGTGGGTGCCTGGCAGGGACGTTTAGCTTCCAGCATCCTGGATTGGGAGCCTTGATGTCAGTTTAAGGATTATGTTCTTTTTCTTCTTTGCTTGGAGAGAAAACTGATGCACTGTGGTTTCTCCACACAGGTACTTTGTGCTGGATTTTGAGGCTGGTATCCTGCAGTATTTTGTGAATGAGCAAAGCAAACACCAGAAGCCCCGAGGGGCCCTGTCTCTGTCCGGCGCCATCGTGTCCCTGAGTGACGAAGGGCCCCATATGCTGGTTGTGTACTCTGCCAGTGGGGAGATGTACAAACTGAGAGGTACGTTCTTCTCCTGGGAACTTTTCAGACGGGCCTCCTGGGTTCACAGTTACCATGGTGATGGCTCTCTTGTTTTTAGATTTTTTTTTTAAAAAATCACCTTTAACAATTTGCCGGGTTGCGGACTCTGGTGACAGATGCTGCTTCTCCTACCCCTGGGGTGGGGAGAGGAGATGACATTAGGAAGTGTTTGTCCTAATTAACTGAGCAATTAAGGACAAACAAAAGGTGAGTGATCGCAAACCTGGCTGAGCCTTAGGACTTGGGCAGATTTTTCATATTAGCTCAGTATATATTTTCCTGGACCGTATACTGTCAATCTTTCTTCCAGTGCCCGTGGGGCTGTGATCTGAGCACAGGTCAAGCGTTTTAAGGGTCATGGTGTCCTCTGCTCAAAGTTTCTCTAGAACCAGCTCTTAGTAAAGGCCCCTTCACTTGTACTTTATTTAACCCATTGTGGCCCTAGAGCCTGGTGAAAAGCCAACTGGTATTATGTCCTGTTGTCCACTTTCTCCCCTTCTCTTTGCTTCTTGAAAGCTGAGGTCTGCTAAGCATTCTCCTTAGGTCTCGGGGGAGCCCAGCATTTGGCCAGAGCTGTAGGTCTTGCCGCCCCCGAGGCATATCCGCCTCGCAGGTTTTCTGATGGGCCAGAGTTGTCTGCAGCGGTGTGATTTGATCGCTAGATCATTCCTCCAGCATTCTGTCATGGGCACATTGCCGGAAAAATTGTCAGTCTTCTTCTAACAAAATAACAAAACCAAACCCCAAATGCACGTGTCTGCATGCTTCTGCATGTACACACACACACAGAGTCAGTTTGCTGATCTTCCTCCAAGCTTTGCTACCCAGAGGCGGGCTAAGCTGAGGTTCCTTTATTTTTATTTTTTGGCCACGCTGTGCAGCTTGTGGGATCTTAGTTCCCCAGCCAGGGATTGAACCTGGGCCTCTGGCTTTGGAAGTGCAGAGTCCTAACCACTGGACCACCAGGGAATTTCCCGAGGTTCTTTTATTATCAATATACAAGTCATATCTCAGGATCTATAAAACAATCCACAAACCTATGATATAAAATTGTCTATAGTTGAAGAAAGTTTTTTGTTTCTTGGGAACTGTGAGAAGATTCATATTCTCTTTGGAGATTCTCTTTCTGCCCTGCAAACCGGTTCATCTGTACCATTTTTCTGGGTTGCACATATATGCGTTAATATACGATATTTGTTTTTCTCTTTCTGACTTACTTCACTCTATATGACAGTCTCTACAAATGACCCAGTTTCGTTCCTTTTTGTGGCTGAGTAATATTCCGTTGTATATATGTACCACATCTTCTTTATCCATTCGTCTGCCTATGGGCATTCAGGTTGCTTCCATGACCTGGCTATTGTAAATAGTGCTGCAGTGAACATTGGGGTGCATGTGTCTTTTTGAATTATGGTTTTTCTCTGGGTGTATGCCCAGTAGTGGGATTTCCGGGTCATATGGTAATTCTATTTTTAGTTTTTTAAGGAACCTCCATACTGTTCTCCATAGTGGCTGTATCAATTTACATTCCCACCAACAGTGCAAGAAGGTTCCCTTTTCTCCACACCCTCTCCAGCATTTGCTGTTTGTAGATTTTCTGATGATGGCCATTCTGACCGGTGTGAGGTGATACCTCATTGTAGTTTTGATTTGCGTTTCTCTAATAATTAGTGATGTTGAGCAGGTTTTCATGTGCTTCTTGGCCATCTGTATGTCTTCTTTGGAGAAATGTCTATTTAGGTCTTCTGCCCATTTTTTGATTGAGTTGTTTTTTTTTTTTAATATTGAGCTGCATGAGCTGTTTATATATTTTGGAGATTAATCCATTGTCTGTTGATTCATTTGCAAATATTTTCTCCCATTCTGAGGGTTGTATTTTCATCTTTTTTGTAGTTTGCTTTGCTGTGCAAAAGCTTTTAAGTTTCATTAGGTCCCATTTGTTTATTTTTGTTTTTATTTCCATTACTCTAGGAGGTGAATCAAAAAAGATCTTGCTGTGATTTATGTCAAAGAGTGTTCTTCCTATGTTCTCCTAGTCTAAGAGTTTTATAGTGTCCAGTCTTATATTTAGGTCTCTAATCCATTTTGAGTTTATTTTTGTGTATGGTGTTAGGGAGTGTTCTAATTTCATTCTTTTACGTGTAGCTGTCCAGTTTTCCCAGAACCGCTTACTGAAGAGAATGTCTTTTCTCCATTGTATTTCCTTGCTTCCTTTGTCATAGATTAGTTGACCATAGGTGCATGGGTTTATCTCTGGGCTTTCGATCCTGTTCCATTGATCTATATTTCTGTTTTTGTGCCAGTACCATATTGTCTTGATTACTGTAGCTTCGTAGTATAGTCTGAAGTCAGGGAGTCTGATTCCTCCAGCTCCGTTTTTTTTCCCTCAAGACTGCTTTGGCTGTTTGGGGTCTTTTGTGTCTGCATACAAATTTTAAGATTTTTTTGTTCTAGTTCTGTACAAAATGCCATTGGTAATTTGATAGGGATTGCACTGAATCTGTTGATTTCTTTGGGTAGTATAGTCATTTTCACAATATTGATGCTTCCAATCCAGGAACATGGTATATCTCTCCATCTGTTGGTATCATCTTTAATTTCTTTCATCAGTGTCTTATAGTTTTCTGAGTACAGGTCTTTTACCTGCTTAGGTAGGTTTATTCCTAGGTATTTTATTCATTTTGTTGCAGTGGTGAATGGGGTTGTTTCCTTAATTTCTCTTTCTGATCTTTTGTTGTTAGAGTATAAGCAAGAGATTTCTGCGCTTTAATTTTGTATCCTGCAACCTTACCAAATTCATTGATTAGCTCTAGTAGTTTTCTGGTGGCATCTTTAGGATTCTCTATGAACAGTATCGTGTCATCTGCAAACAGTGACTTTTTCTTCTTCTTTTCCCATTTGTATTCCTTTTATTTCTTTTTCTTCTCTGGTTGCCGTGGCTAAGACTTCCAAACTATGTTGAATAATAGTGGTGAGTGTGGACATCCTTGTCTTGTTCCTGATCTTAGAGGAAATGCTTTCAGTTTTTCACCATTGAGAATGATGTTTGTTGTGGGTTTGTCATATATGGCCTTCATTATGTTGAGGTAGGTTCCCTCTATGCCCACTTCTGGAGAGTTTTTATGATAAGTTGGTGTTGAATTTTGTCAAAAGCTTTTTCTGCATCTATTGAGATGATCATATGGTCTTTATTCTTAATTTGTTAATATGGTGTATCACATTGATTGATTTGCGTATATTGAAGAATCCTTGCATCCCTGGGATAAATCCCACTTGATTGTGGTGTATGATCCTTTTAATGTGTTGTTGGATTCTGTTTGCTAGTATTTTGTTGAGGATTTTTGCATCTATGTTCATCAGTGATATTGGTCTGTAATTTTCTTTTTTTGTAGTGTCTTTGTCTGGTTTTGGTATCAGGGTGATGGTGGCCTCAAAGAATGAGTTTGGGGGTGTTCCTTCTGCAATTTTTTGGAAGAGTTTCAGAAGGATGGGTGTTAGCTCTTCTCTTTAGAGAAGATAGAATGTTTGATAGAATTCACCTGTGAAGCCATCTGGTCCTGGACTTTTGTTTGTTGCAAGATTTTTAGTCACTTTCAGTTTCATTGCTTGTGATTGGTCTGTTCATATTTTCTGTTTCTTCATGGTTCAGTCTTGGAAGGTTATACCTTTCTAAGAATTTGTCCATTTCTTCCAGGTTGTCCATTTTATTGGCATAGAGTTGCTTGTAGTAGTCTCGGGATGCTTTGTATTTCTGCGGTGTCTGTTTTAACTTCTTTGTTTTCATTTCTAATTTTATTGATTCGAGTCCTCTCCCTCTTTTTCTTGATGAGTCTGGCTAATGGTTTATCAATTTTGTTTATCTTCTCAAAGAACCAGCTTTTAGTTTTATTGATCTTTGCTATTGTTTTCTTTGTTTCTATTTCATTCATTTCTGTTCTGATCTTTATGATTTCTTTCCTTCTACTAACTTTGGGTTTTGTTTGTTCTTCTTTCTCTAGTTCCTTTAGGTGTAAGGTTAGTTTGTTCATTTGAGATTTTTCTTGTTTCTTGAGGTAGGCTTGTATTGCTGTAAACCCGCCTGTGGTTTCTAAAATGACACGAACCCGTACAAAAGAACAGCCCAACCAATTAACCATTTGAGCCATCTCATTTTGCCTTTTAGTTGTTATTCTCTGGGTTATTAAACCCCAAGTTTTTTTTTTTAAGGGTTGTTTTAATAGCAAACATAAAAGTTTTATTATCTGCATGAACTAATCACAAGAGCTAAATTTAGCTTAAACTTACCCACTACAGCAGAGGGAGGACACATTTCTGCCTCTTTCTGGTTGGTCTTTGGTCCATCCCAAAGAATCTGGGCATTGGTTTTCTCATGTCACATCTCGCTACATGTAGAGATGAATCTTGCTGTTAATAGACGAACAGCTTTAGGAATGTTTTTGGTGCAGAGCCTTTGGGTACTGCTGCAAACCAGCAATTCTTCATGTTCCTAAGGAAAATGGCTCTAGTTTCTGCAGAATCCTTTTATTCTTTGGAAGTAGGGTTCACCTGGTCTTACGCTGGTCTGCACTTCCAGATTTCTTCACCAGAAGTTCAAGCTGAAGTTGGGTTTTACTGACGGATGACAGAGGCTCATTTTTGTAAATGATACAAATTTCTAGGGGAATTATTTTGTTTTCTGCAGAGTCAACATTTATGCAGTAAATATTCTGTTAAAATATTTATGCAGTGAGTTATGCAATTAAATTAACTTGGATTTTTTTAGAACCTGTTATGTGTCCATGACCTTTTAAGAAAATAATTTTATATATTTGAGAGATGGGGGTGTAGATTGTGGATGATTGTGACTATGCAAGTGGCTGGTATCGTAATGTCTCTTTGGGGGGCATTTGAGGGTCTGTAAGTCAACATTTTGCACCTTTTTCTGTTCAGTCATAATAAGAACCCTTGAGAACATATATTAAAATGGTAATTCAACTGAACGCTAATTTTGTAAAGGCTGATGACTCCACGTTACAACTCCGATAGTTAACAAAGGGGGCCTCAAACACTGCACTTTGATCCTCCTTTTAGCCACATGTGGTAGAGGCATTAAAAATAATCATGTTTTCTCTTCCCTGCTGCTTTTTAAAGAAGTAGAAATGACTTTTTCAGAAGAGTTTTAAAAATTGGCCAAATTGTTCTCATAACAGACATTTCCGAATAAGTTTTTTTTTTTTTTTTTGCGATATGTGGGCCTCTCACCGTCGTGGCCTTGCCCGTTGCCGGACGCGCAAGCTCAGCGGCCATGGCCCACGGGCCCAGCCGCTCCACGGCACGTGGGATCCTCCCGGACCGGGGCACGAACCCGCATCCCCTGCATCGGCAGGCAGACTCCCAACCACTGCGCCACCAGGGAGGCCCATAAGTTAAGTTTTTAATGTGGTTTAAGAGGGAATTTTTTTGTCACTTCTTCAGGGAAACCTTCATTAAGCACCTGTCATAGGACTATATTAGGTGCCCCCACTGTGTACTACACAGTAAAGCAAAGTGTTTTAACAAAGCATATTTGCAGCCACTTAGATAATGCCCCACTGAAAAAGAAATTCCACCTCTAACTCCCTTCTAATGACAAGAAACTTACTTTATTCAGTGTTGTTCTGTTTGAAGTTTCTGAGTTGGTATTTATAATTTGAAAAGAGAGAATTAAAAAAATATGTTAGGGGCAATAAAAATGCTACAATGTGGATGAACCTGAAAGACATTAAGTAAAAGAAGACAGGCACATACTGCATGGGAGCATTCATATGGAATGTCTAGAATAGGCAAATCTATGAGACAGAAAGCAGATTAGTGGTTGCCTAGGGATGGGAAAGGGGGTGGGGAGAGAGATGGGAAGTGACTGCTGATGGGTGGAGGATTCTTTGGGGGATACTGAAAATGTTCTAAACCAAGATTATGGTCATGTTGTACTATTCTGTAAATATACTAGAAATCACTTAATATTAAAAACAGGTGAATTTTATGTATGTAAATTCTATCTCAAAGCTGTTAAAAGATCTGTTAGAAATTAAAAAAAAGAGAAGGAATATAAGTGTATTGATTACTTCTGGAGAAATTGGTCTGTAATGTGTTCAAGTGATTCCATCCAGGAAGATGGAATTCTGAAAATCCCTTTAGGTTTCTCAAAACTTTTTAGATTTCTTAAAAAAAGAAAATAAAAAAGGATTTTTGATTGAGATTTGGTGTCATCACATTTTTGGCATGAGTACCATCTGCATTTGCCTTTCGCTCCTTCATTCCCAGGCCCCCAACCCCTCAGGTGCGTGTAGAAATGGGTTGGGTGTGTTTTGGCTCAAGTGCTCCAAGCCTTTCTTTCTCTATTTTAGCTGCTGATGCAAAAGAGAAACAGTTCTGGGTGACTCAGCTTCGAGCTTGTGCCAAATACCACATGGAGATGAATTCTAAGGTAAGTCACTGCGGGGTGGGGTGGAGCGGGTGCGTTGCATCTGCTGGGATCAGCCTTCAGCCCAGTGATTGGCTTCTTGGGGGAAGCTGTTTTCCATAGTATGTTTAAAGTTCTCCACCGTCGAGTAATTCATACTTGTCCTGTGACATTTACATTTAAAGCCAAGAGAAAGGTGGGAGGATTTGCTTGTAGGTAGAGTGAAGGGGCATGCAGACACTTTATTGGAACTGATTCTGGAAAGACACTTCTGTGTCTTTCTGTGTTGTCCATTTAGGCAGCTGGTAACTGGTCTGCGGAGAAGCTTGAGCAGATGGTGTCATTGTGGCGGTGGCAGAGGAGTCAGATTTACTGTTCACGAAGACTTGTTGTCACAGACCCTTAAATAAAACGAGACCCCAGCTCGACGAAGCACTCTGTAAGGTGCTTCTGCGTCTAAGTGTGTCAGAATGTTCTCAGGTAGTTTGGCATCCATGTATGAATTAGCTTCTCCTCAGGATTCAGTCTGAGATCTTGGTACAGATGTGCAGGGGATAGGAGATGGGAGGTAGGCATTTTTCATGGATTATTTGGAGGATCTCCTATCCTTAAATACAGGAAATAAGTAAGTCAGACAGAGAAAGCCAAATACTATTTGTTATCGCTTATATGTAGAATCTAAAAAAAATAATACAAATGAATGCATATACAGGCATTCTTTTTCTGTATTCCATGTATCTGTTAGGAAGACCCACACTTCAGACTTCTTAGGCTTCCATTTCCTGTAACCTATCTGCTGTCTTGCTCAGGGAGGACATGGAAATGTCTTGCTTGGTTATACCTCCCTGTTCTGCTTCCAAATACAACCTGAAATGATTTCTTCACAATGATTTTGTTTATTTTTTTCTTTCTGGAGGCATCTTCTCTCCTTGACTCGCTTACGACAGTTGCACTCACTGTAATGCCCCTCTTGATTTGCTCCAAATGTGGTCTTTCATCATAGGTAGGGCCCCACTCCTTTATTAAAAAATTTATTTTATTGAAGTCTAGTTGATTTACAATGTTGTGGTAATTGTCCTGTACAGCAAAGTGACTCAGTTATACATATGTATATATTCTTTTTCATATTCTTTTCCATGATGGTTTATCCCAGGATATTGGATATAGTTCCCTGTGCTCTACAGTAGGACCCTGTTGTTTATCCATTCTGTGTATATCAGTTTGCATCTGTTAATCCCAAACTCCCAGTCCATCCCTCCTCCCCCACCCCTCTCCCTTGGCAACCACAAGTCTATTCTCTGTGTCTCTGAGTCTGTTTCTGCTTTATAGATAAGTTCATTTATGTCGTATTTTAGATTCCACATATAAGTGATATCATATGGTATTTGTCTTTCTTTTTCTGATTTACTTCATTTAGTATGATCATCTCTAGGTCCATCCATGTTGCTGCACGTGGCATTGGTCCATTCTTTTTTATGGCTGAGTAGTATTCCATTGTATATATGTGCCACATCTTCTTTATCCATTCATCTGTTGATGGACACTTAGGTTGTTTCCATGTCTTGGCTATTGTGAAAAGTGCTGCTATGAACATAGGGGTGCACATGTCTTTTTGAATTATAGTTTTGTCTGCATATATGGGTAGGGCCCCACTTCTAAAGCTTTTTTCCCTCTGGCCTGGTTTATTTTCCAGGAATTATGGTAGGAGTTCTGGACATTACATCAGTATTTTATAAACACCTAGGCAGGGCAGTATAAAATTGTTTTCTTTTTATATGTATTGTTTTACTTTTTATAAAATAGAACAGAAGGGGATCAAATAAAAAGGACGTATCTTCACCTGTTGCCATAGGTGCTCATTGGAGATGACTGCTCTTTGGTACATCAGCCTAGTAAATTTAGGCGTACGTTAGTGTGTATGTGTATGTGTCTGTAGCTCTACATTTGTTTTTTACACAAATGGATCGTTTCACGCACACTGTTCTATCCTTTGAGTTTTTTACACTTACTAATGTATCTTGGAGATTTTTCCCTGTTGGACATCTAGATCTACTACACTCCTGTTAGGATGACCAGATGCTGTGCTAAGGGGTGGATGTCCGTGCTTTATTTGAGTCCTTCACTGACAGACGTTTAATTTGATTGTGGTTGTTATACATGGTGCTATAATAAACATCTTTGGACACACATCTTCTGGTACCTCTAGGTGTGTATATATATGAATCTATACCAGCGGAAGTACTGGGTTATAGAATAGAACATGAAAGGTGGATTCGCTTGTGGGGTTGACTCGTATACTAAGTTCACAAAGTCTCTTCTACTTTTAAGTCTACTTCTGCCAAGTCTCTTCGGATGCTAATTGGGCGTTTCAGCCCCTAAAAGGTGAACGTGTGACAGGAGGGGATGATTATTGCTGCCTCTGGAGGTTAAGTCTCCAGCCAACCCCACGATGGGGAGAGAGGCAGTGGGGTTCAAACTCGGGGGGGGGGGCGCCCAGGGCCCCCTTTCGGCTCAGCTGCCTCCTTTCTGACTGGCGCCCCCATCCCCACCACAAACATAACTCCTGTTGCGAGTTCACTGCTGACAGCTTGTGAAGGCATTTTTTTTCCCGTAATGGAAGTAGCATTGTTTTTAAAAAATTGCGAACATCACCTGTACGCAATGCAAAACATTCAGAAGATAGGAAAGTATAAAGAAGGAAAAAAATCACCCCAAATCCCAGCCCCAGACCTAATCTCTGATGATACTGTTTGAGCGTGCATCCTTCCAGAGCCTTATCTGTGTAGAGAAATAGCAACAGAAAGAGGTCACATGACCCCACGTGGGGTCCATCCTTCCAGTCTTTTCCATACAAGCATGGGGGTGTGTGGACTATTTCTGGGAATCAGAAGGCTTGTCTGTTGTGGGGAGGTATGGGTGGGGAATTCTGTCAGGCTGTGTGTTATGCCTTGTGTGAAGAGTAAGGAGATGTGTAGCTGCTGCTTAATTGGTTCTCCCAGGAAACTCGGTTTCTGATGACGAATGACTACAGCTTTCCTGACTGTCTGCCGCCCTGGGGTGTGAGCCAGAGGGCTTTGGAGAGGTGCTTAGCTGTCTTGGCTGCGCGGCATCACGGCAGGGAAGCACCTGCCACCGGGACCAACCCAGTGGTGTCTGTGGAATCTGAAACCACGTGGTTGTGAGGGACTTCAGATGTCATCCAGTCCTGACCCCACCGCATCCCACCATCCTCACAGAAGCGCGTACCGGAATATTTATGGTCATGATGAAAACATGTGGGCTGATTCTCTCAAAACAGTCCCTGGTTTTATTCACCTAGAGGGGGCACTGCTGGTACCTCACTGAGTGAATGCTAACAATTTGGGGAGTCATCTAACAAATGATGTCGAATACCTCTCTTTTATGACTAAACAAATTTAGAACAGTTTGGAATAGCTCAGAAGGAATGATTAAAAAGTGGGAAGGGATCCCAAACTCCCTCTGTTCCTTGTGTCTAAAAACAGTAGCTATAAGGAATAGGACAAGAGGTAGGTCCTAAAACTGTGTGGTCCAATGTGGAGGCCATGGGGCACGGGAGGCTGTCCAAACTGAAATTATTTGAAATTAAATTTGAAATTCAGTTTCTCGGTCATGCTTAACCACATCTCAGGTGCTCAGGGGCCATGCTTGGCTGATGCCTGCCGTAGTGGACAGCACAGGGTTAGAACATCTTCCGTCATCACAGAAGGTTCTGTTGGAAAGTGCTGATAAAGCTTCCATTACGGCTTCATGGTTTCTAAGGAGGGACTTGCCAGTGTCCGGTTTAATCTCCTCTTGCGCCATGGACAGTGTTTTGCTTTCTTTAAATCTGAAAAGGCTGACTGGTGCTTCCCACCCGTCTGTCCTTCCTTCTGGGTTTCCCCTGCATCCTTCCGGTGAGGAGTTCTGGTCTGTGCCACAGCCTTGGCGTTGAACATCCTGCTTACTGTTACTTCTCCCGTGGCCTCATCTGTGCAACAGGGACCCTGACCTTACTCGTCTGAAGTTAGGAACTGGTGTTCTCATGTGGTCAGATTCTACTACATGCTTACTGCGCTACAGCTGTTTGCCAAGAAAACTAGTTTGAGGTGTTTTTTTAAAACTTTTATTTGCATTTTTTTTTTGCAGAATTTATTCTCAGGCCATAAGTTTTTGTTTCTTCAGTTTCTTCTGGGGTATCTTTTTCTTCTGTGCAACCTCCTTTCCTGGTTTAGGGACAATCTGCTCTTTTTTTTTTTTTTTTTTTTTTTTTGCGGTACGCGGGCCTCTCACTGCTGTGGCCTCTCCCGCTGCGGAGCTTAGGCTCCGGACACGCAGCCTCAGTGGCCATGGCTCACGGGCTCAGCCATTCCGCGGCATGTGGGATCTTCCTGGACCGGGGCATGAACCCATGTCCTCTGCATCGGCAGGCGGACTCTCAACCACTGAGCCACCAGTGAAGCCCCAATCTGCTCTTTTTCAGTGAAGATCATCTCAGTGTGGCCGGGAGAGCTCATGCACAAGTTGATTGGACTATGAGCTCTGCTAAGTCCTGAGCCGCATTTTGGGAGCTGTATTCACCTGAATGTGCTCACTGATCGGGGGATCTACATCTAGGCCCTAAAGGTCAGCATCCCTCTCTGCATTTTTGAGCATGTGCAGTAAAAATTCAGCACTCTTTTGGGGCCATCGACCGTGCATCCAGCCCCACTGTTTGGCCTAAGCACACCTACTAACTTCACCACTGGAATGATGGAATGGCACCCATCGCTTCTGTAAAGGGACATCCTTCAGATACTCGGCGGCTTTTTGGATGTGCATACCTTTTATGGCCTGGGCAGTTTCACGAGTGTTCTTAGAATGAACAGGAAGATTTGAACCTCTTGTTTTGCATGATTTTGTGAGGTTTTCTGGGTCAAGTGAACAGCAAACCATTTTCAGAGGTCACCTCAAGGCTGCTTACTGGAAAAGCAAGTTCGAGCTTCTGTGAGCAGCAGAGGAGCAAGGGCAGGTTGCCAGTGGGGCTG